TAAGGAGTTACGAAGCATATACCATGTGTTCAGGTTTTTGACTGATTCTCTGTGTGAAATGTAAAATCAGAAAAGTGCCCTGCTTTACAGGCCAGTATAATGTAGTTGGGGAGTTAAGAAAGTCACATGGCAGCCACCAAAATAATTTAAAATTAGGAGAGACCATTAGGGTGGGAACAAGGACACCAACCAAACTTGCCGCGTGGAGTCTATTCCGACAGAGCAAGTCTCAAACTCACAACTCACTGCCATCACGTCGATGCTGACTCACAGCGCTCCCCTCTGTGGGGTTCCAAGACTGTAACTATTTATAGGAGTGGAAAGCCCAGCCGTTCACCTAAGGAGGTGCTGGCGGTTTAGAACTGCCGACCGTGAGGATTGTAGCACAATATGTAACCAGTACAGAGTTTTTACTTTTATACCAATTCTAGGGAAGGTTTATTTATGCTATTTGAGTTAGGCCTCCAAGATAGAAGAGTTTTGAAAAGGGAGAAAATTACTCTGGTCAAGGGCAAAATCAAAAATGATAGCTAAAGAATACAGTGTAAATATTTAACTTATAATAAGTAATTTTTATAGACATCACTGAGGAAGAAAAACAATAAAGTGTCAGATCAAGTTGTTTACAGTGAAAAATGAGTTGCAAAAAGATTTTCAAGCACTATGAATATGGGCTGCCATTTAGAGCTTAGAAAGCTCTACATCATTTTCGTTCCAGTAAAATTCCACCTTGGGGTAGACTTGTATCTCTAGAGAGAATAGCATTACCGCTATATGACTATCTTTATTGGCCATTTGGGAAATAGACCACAGGAGAGGTAAGATACCCAGCCAGGCTCCATAGCTACTTTGTGCAATAAGAAGAAAACAGTAATAACTAAGAAATTTAAAGACCATTATCACATTCAAGCTCTACTGATTTTTGTACCCCCTTATGACTAGTTCACATTCCTGTAGTCTAACCCATAAAAGTTAACATAATTAAACTAAAAACCAATACTCTCTATTCAAGAATGATATTTACCCTGGGAGAAGGAAACATAGAAAGATTTTAAATTGTTTAAAGTAAGCAATGAGGAAAGGACTATGACTGCCAAATCGACGGGAGCGGGAAGACACAAGTATCTCTATTTCTGAGCAAAATGCTGCTATTCAGTATAATTGCATCAACTTGATCCAAATCCAATATATCTTATTCATTGAAAAAAGACATATCAAAGTAGCAGCAATTTCCTTTACAGATAAACACATCCAGTCAAGAGAGTTCCTATCAAAACCCGTTTAACCCTGAAGATAATAAAGAGCAAGAGAAAAATTACTGTGTGCTCTTAATGTCAAACAACTTCTAAACAAAAATAACTGACAGCAAGGTCGGAAATGACCACTGTGAAAAGTGTAATACAAATTATAATTAAAATGTTTCAAATACAGTTTATCCCTACACTTTTCTTTATAGCATGTAAAATAAGAAAAATCACCAATTGAATAATTAAAACTTATTGTTGCATACTAATTAACTGTGGAAAACCCTAATGGCAATATCTATAGTTAATCATTGATCACCGTGATCTAGAAAAAACTATGAGAAACAGTTTACTCTACTAACAGCCACCTCAGAATGTTTGTGATGGGCCACTGTGCATGATAAACTTCAGGACACACATTATGTGAACACATGAGTTTTACCTCACAATGCCTATAATTACTGTTGAATCCTTGACTGGTAAGTTATATCTAGACAAGAACCTATAAATATTTGCTGAGAAAACCCAATCTTTGAGCTTCTCTGAAAATATTGACTTCAAATGGGGCATGTTCCATGGAAATGTCCTCACCAGCGGACCAACCACTTCAACATCATGGTAAATGAGGAAAAGAAAGAAGTTGCCTAGGACTTCATTTTGCTTGGACCCATAACCAACACTCATGGGAAGCAACATAATAAGAATAAATAAGTAAATACATAGTAACTGCTGAGGCTGTTTATAAACAAACACATTATAGGGTTAACTTCCTTGGTTTGGAGAGTAAGGACCTGGTTTCTCGGGATATTCCAGTTAATTGGCCTCACTAGGTGCCCTGTACTACTTGTTTGGTCATTGCATAGTGCTAAAAGCTTGCAAGTAGCCATTGCAGGTAGAGAGATTGGCCTCTAGTCACCTGGAACACTAAAAGGAGGAACAGGAAAATTAGGAGGAAATGGAGTGGGTGTATAATTGCCTCCATAAATAACTGACTCCTTGCCAAGAGGCCAGAAGAACTGGATGGCGCCCAGCTGCTATTACTGGACATTTTGACCAAAGAGCATATAAGACCTGATCAAAAGGGGGAAATACAGAGCCAAATCCAAATTCCCAGACTCTAGATTTTCTGGAGCCATGGAGACTAAATGAATCCCTGAAACTATGAGGGATTCGTTTTTAAATGAATCATCTTTAAACCTTAAAATATCCCCCGAAGACCACTTAAAACTAAACAATAGTCTAGCTATGCTGACTCATAGTGACCTCATTCACATCAGAAAGAAACACTACCTAATCCTGTGCCATTTTCACAACCGTTGTTATGTTACTGTTGTTATGTTACTGACCCTCTATTTTACCAAGAATGATGTTCTTTTTCAGGGACTAAGTTGCTCCTGATAATATGTCCAAAGTATATTGGACAAAGTCAAACCATCCTTGCTTCTGCTTTTTTTTTTCCCCCCCATCCTTGCTTCTAAAGAGCATTCTGGCTGTACTTCTTCCAAGATAGATTTTTTTTGTTACCGTATATACTCGAGTATAAGCCGACCTGAATATCAGCCGAGGTACCTAATTTTACCACAAAAACTGCATTAAAAATGTGCTGGAAAAACTCAGCTTGTATACAAGTATATACGGTATTTTGGCAGCTAACAGTATTTTAAGTGTTCTTGACTAACAGCATTATTCAAATGCATCAGTTCTTCTGTGATGCTTCCTTATTCACTTAGGTGCCCAACTTTCAAAAAACTCAGCATGTATACAAGTATATACGGTATTTTGGCAGCTAACAGTATTTTAAGTGTTCTTGACTAACAGCATTATTCAAATGCATCAATTCTTCTGTGATGTTTCCTTATTCACTTAGGTGCCCAACTTTCACATGCATGAGACATGTGGAAAGACCATGACTTGGGTCAGGCTAAGGAATGCAATGACATCTTTGTTCTTCAATTGTGCAACAGATTTGTCCGATGCAATCTATTGTTTGATTTCTTGACTGCTATGTCCATGAGCGCTGACTCTGGATACAAGCAAGATGACATCCTTGACAACCTTGTCTCTGTTATCCTGATGTTGTCTTTTAGTCCAGCTGTGAGACTTTTGGTTTTCTTTACAGTCCTTAATCCTTATGGGCATTTCAAGTCCATCTTGTTTCCACTAAGTTGTGTCATCTGCATACCACATATATAAATAAGCCTTCCTCCAATCCTGATACCATGTTCTTCTTCACATATACCAGCTTCCGGATGATTTGGTCAGCATACAGATTGAATAAATGTGGTTAAAGGATACAACCTTTCCTTATTTTAATCCATGCATTATTTCCCTGTTCTGTTCATAGGAAGCCCCTTCAAAGAGGTAGATTCCACATGAGCACAATTAAGTGTTAAGTTCCCAGTCTTTGAGAAATTATCCAGTTAATTATGATCCACACAGTCAAATGTCTTTGCTTAGTCAATAAAATACAAGTAAACATTTTTAAGTTTTTTTTCTGCTTTCAGCTAAGATCCATCTGACATTCCTCATGTCATGATCTATTCCAAATCCAGCTTGGATTTATGGGAGCTCCCTATTGATGTACTGCTGCAACCATTATTGAATGATCTTCAACAAAATTGTACTTGCATGTTATATTCATGATATTGCTTGATAGTGAATTCTGTTGAGTTACTTTTCTTTCAAATGGGCACAAATATGGATCTCTTCTAGCCGGTTGGCCATGTAGATGTGTTCCAAATGTCTTGTCAGAAACAAGTGAATGCTTCCCATGTGACATCAGCTTGTTAAAGCATTTCAGTTGGTGTTTCATCAATTCCTGGAGCCTTGTTTATTTGTGAAGGCCTTCAGTGGACTGTAAGACTTTTTGCTTCAGTATCTTTGGTTCTTAATCATATGCTGCCTCTTGATATGGTTGAATATCTACCAGTTATTTTTGGTACAGTGACAATATGAATTCACGAGAGGATAGATTTTAAAGCAGGAATCATCATGAGAGACCAGAAGAGCATTATATAATGATTAAAGTGTCAACTGAACAACACAGTACTTTCAATGAATGGAAGAGCAACCAGAAACAGCACAAAGATTAAACAATGCAATACACCAACATGATCTTACTGACACAGAAAACTCCACCCAACAACAACACCCTTTTCCAGCACACTTCGTACACTCTCCATACTATATGGTCACAGATAGACCATACATGAGGGCACAAAGCAAGCCTCGATAAAGTTTTTAAACATCAAAATAATGAAAAAGCATGTTCTCAGATCACAATGCTATATAATTAGATATTCTTTTAAAAAGAGGAAGATCAACGAGCAGAGATCAAATATGTGGAAACTAATTAACACCCTGCTTAAAAACAACTGGGTTGTAAGTGAAATTTATAAATTTCTTGAATCAAACAAGAACGAAAACGCAACATACCAAAACCTCTGAGGCACAGAAAAAGCAGTGCTCATAGGGCAAGTAATAGCAATAAGCACATACCTCAAAAAGGAACAAAAATACAAAGTCAACATCCTAACTGAACATGTCCAACATTAACTCCTTGCCCCACACTCTGCAAAAAAAAACCCCGCAAAATAAGCCCACCGGCACCAGAGGGAAAAAATCACAGGAAACATTAAAGTAAAAATAAAGAAACAGAAAAGCAATCAAATCAATAAGACTAGAAGTAGGTTCCTTAGAAAGAGTAATAAAATCAACAACAACAAAATAAGAATTGTGTTAAATGAAATCACTCACTGCAAACAGCCCACTTTTACTGCAACAGGGGTGTGAGGAAGCTGCGTGGCCCACTTCAGAGTCACATCCTGATAGATGCGCAGCATGCTGCTATGGTTTCCAATCAAAGTATTTATTGTTCCTTCAGAAACTGTAGGTTAAAGGTCCAGAGAATACTAAGAAAACAGTCATTTGCAACAATACTTTATATTTCCTTTAGAGAATTTAAGACACAAGATGCTTCTAATATCTTGGTTTTAATGTATAAATGTTTTAAATAATAAAACACTATTTTCAACATCAAGTTACCAAAATCACAAATAAAAATAAATGTTCAGGTTTGGAAAATATAACTAGACAGGGGCCAACATTTTTCATTTCATTAACATTTAATTTTAACACATTTAAGCTAATGCTTTACTGGGTATTCACTATAAAATAATTCACACTACTAGACATTACTATACCCCATTCTGCTTTAAGTGTCTGATGTTCTCTTGAAAGCATTTTGAAAAGTTGCATTACGGAAAATACTAATGTATGCTGAAGGCAAATTGTACAAGTCATTTTGTACAAAGTAAAATGATTGGCAAAACTTAAAGTGTGCTGTGTGTCAAATTTCAGTTCAAATTTAAAACCTAAAATATCCATGACATGCTGAGTATTAAGCTATTTTTCTTAATATTTAGAAAATATGTGTGTGGTTTTTTCCTGATGCACATAACATAGACTTAGCATATAGGAAAGATAAAAGAACTTCTTTGTACGCACCTGAGCAATAGGGAAGAAAACAACTTGGGCTACAATCAAGTTTCTTCATGAACCGAATTTGTCCATTATCCTTAAGGCAAAAGAAGTTTCTCTCACCAAGAACAAAGACAGAAGACACAGATTGATTAAAAGACACAATGCATATGTCAAGGGCTTGCTCTCCGATATTTAGAGTCCAATCCACCTGCAAAGCAAAACCCAGTATCAATTTAACTGTAAAACACACAGAAGTTCAGTCACCTTCATATAAATCTTCACCACAAAGCAGACAGAAATATAAAGAATGGTAATCTTCATTTATATTTTTTTGCTATCACTGTATTTCTAATACTTTATAGATTCTAGCAGATTTTGCCTCATCTCTTACTAAATGGTATTAGCTACTCTAGTGGTTCAAAAATATTCATAAAAAGGTATTAACTTCACTGAAAATTTCCACTGAAAACATATTGTGTTTACTTTGATACTATAATAATAATCTGTAAAACCTAAATCTGATATTGTTGGAACTAAAATGTTTAATATGAGATAACAGCATTTGCTAAGCTAATGCACTCACACATACTTGGACTCTTCTCCACATAGAAGCATCTTTCCTAACTCTGGAACACAGTCAATGATCACTGAATGTTCCTTTGAATGAATGGATTACAAAGGGGTATGTTAATTCACTGTTTTTCATAATTCATTTCCAAGTTATTGAAAATGTTTAAGTCAACGAAGTCAAAGGAGAAGTAATATACAATCTGAAAAACACTGGCGGACAGTCATATCCAAGTATATCACATATGGCAATAACAGTGAAATGGATACACAAAAACCTAGGCAAAGAAGAAATAAAACTTCCCTCCAAGTTAGGCTATATTTGACAAATAATGGATACAAAAATAAATATGGAAAACCACATAAAGATTCAGCTGGGAACTTGATTTTTAGTTTAAAAAAAAGATACAGGTGTATTTCTTGCCATCAAGACCAACCTTAGGTATTACTCCATCTATTACAGTATCTTAAGAAATTATGCAATCCAAACAGGGCTGGCCTAGGAAGCAAATATCGTGTGCGTGGGTGTGTGTGTGTGTGTGTGTGTGTGTGTGTGTGTGAACTATATAGAGCAGGAGGGCAGCATAGTGAATACAGATAGAAATTATCTAGGTGTGTGAATCTAAATTAAGAGTGAACACCAAGAAATCACTCGTTTATTATTTGATTCAAGTGTATCTTGCCTATGTGAACATATTGCACAGGACATATGTTGGCATTCCAACATACATACTGCGGTCTAGAACTCTGACTGCTATGTGTCTAAGAGATTGTGACCCATTCAGAGTGGACAGGCAAACCAAGTTTCTAAAGCAACAGTTTGATAACGACTCACTAAATACTTTCAGGTCCTGAATGCCACTCCCCTGAACTCCCCTTCACGAAATATACCGGTTTCTGAATTAATTAGTATTCAAAATTACAGAAGTTGACTATAAACAAATAATAATTAACATTTAGAATTCTGGCTATGATGGAATAATAGGGAGAGAATTTACTATCTCACCAGAAATAATCACAAAATGGGCAAAATACATGAAATAACAGTTTGCAAGTCATTGGATTGTCAGACGATAAAAAACGATTCTTTAAAGACAGCAACAACAAGAAAAAATGAGGTGAGCCGTGTGATCGGTGCAGCTTTGAGAAGGTTTTACTGCATGTCATCAAACCAAAGCAAACACTGCCTTGAAGTTGATTCTGACTCACCAAAACCATACAGGGACGGAAGAGATCGGCCCCTGTGGGTTTCCAAAACTGTCACTCTTTAAGGGAGTAGAAAGCCTCATGATTTCCCACAGAGAAGAGAAGCCCAGGCAGATGCCCACAGAGTCTCTAAACTGATAAGATGGTTCTGAGAATCCTGAAAAACCAAGTGGGGTTCTTGAGAAAATGTAGCCAAAAGGAAAGCACTGTATGTGCAGAGAACGCAAGGTGTGTGGAGAGTTTCTTAAATGTCCAGTGGCGTACTTATCCGCACACGCAAGCAAGGGAACTACACCAGAGCCAGACAAAGAACCACCAGAAAGGGTCAGAAGTCAGGTGTGTCAGCATTTACACAGAACAGAGAACACTGCCTATATCCGCTGTCCAACCTGAAAACCTCATACATCGGAGAAAATTGAGTAGTCAGGAATGGAGACTAATCAGCTCTGTAAGGAGTCCTGGCGGTAACTCATTGGGGTGGGATCGGCTAGGTTAACAGTGTGAAAACACCAGATGGGACTTTCTACTCCCACTAACAGTTACAGTATCAGAAACTCACAGAGGCAGTACTATCCTGTCTTATGGGGTGACTAGTAGTCACCATCGACTTTACAGTAGTGAGTTTTGGTGTATTTTTATGAGAACAAGTATATTCTCACACATCTAGTCTTAAAAGCAAACCCAAGGAATTGAACCTTCAAAGTAACTGTGTCCCAGACCTATGCACAAAAATAGGTTCAGGAATACAAAACTACTCAGCATCTAACAAGGAAATTGTCCATTGTGTATCATCTAATAAAAAATATGTACAATGAGGACATAAATAAATCAAATGACACTGCCACAGATGTTAGAATTAGGAAACACAGACATGAAAATAATACTTATAACTAATACTCTTATCTTCAGAAAGTTCATTAAAAGACATGAAAGACAGGCATAAAAGAAGAAAAATCCTATTGAATTTCCAGTCCCACTGCACTAAACGGGAATTAATAGCAGATTAGGTATTACAAGTTAAAAAAAAAATCAATGAATTTTAAAACATAAGAATGGAAAAGATCCAAATGAAACAAGGAGAGAAAAAGATTGTAAAAATGAAAAAGAGAAGCAGTGATCTAGATATCACCTTTAAAAAGCATATACCTGTGTGTGTGTGTGTGTGTGTGTGTGTGTGTGTGTGTGTGTGTATTTGGGAACTTTCATTTTATGCACACACACACAATGAAAGTTCCCAAAGAAGGTAAGAGTGACACAGGGCAGGGGAAAAAAATGAAAAGATAATGGGGGAGTGTTGGATAGGGAGTGGGGGTAGATGCCAGATGAAAATATGGAACTACATGAGTTAATGAAAAGTCCTGGAAATGTTAACTATATGAGTAAATTTATAAGATCATTTTCTCCTAAATTAAATCTCATTAAAAGATAATTTACTTTAAATAAAAGTAACAACCATGTAATGTGGAGTTTATAGAAAACCTCACTGCCATTGAGAAGTTTACAGTACGTGTAAAATTAAAATGACCACAGTAGCACAAAGGTTGATGGGTGAGAAATGGAAGAAAGGTTCTTAAACTATGTGTGAAGTGGCAAATTACTACCTGAAGGTCAACTATCAAAAGTAAAATAGATAATGGAAACCCTAAAGCAACCATTAAAATTTCAAAACCAAAAGTTACAACTAATAAGCAAACAAAGGAGTTAATGAAATCATAATGAATATTGATTTAATCCAAAAGAATACAGAAAGAGAGAAAAGGAAACAGGACAGGATAGATAGGAAAAAATACCAAATTTAAACCTAACTATATGAATAACCAGACAAAATGAAAAGAGCCTCAATTAAAAAGCAGGGATCATCATGTTGTATCAGAAAAAACGAGAGCTAAGTATATGCTGCTTACAATACATAAAGACACAAACCCACTAAAAAGTAAATCCATGGAAAAGGATCTCTCAGAGTAGCACTAATTAAAAGTGGCTATGTTAGGCCAGATGAGGTAGGTCTCATATTATCAAAAGAAACGGATAAAGTCCTTCACAATAAAAAGGGATCGTTTCTCCATCAGATGGAAAAGTCCCAAATATATTTTTTAAACTGATAAGATTTCTAGAAAAAAAAAAAAAAGATGCCAAGAATAACAAATAAATCCACAATTATTGTCAGAGGCTTCAATACTACTGTCTCAACATTATAAAAAAAAGTAATAAGATAATTAAGAAAGATACAGATGATTTATAAAGTCTTCCATCCAAATTAGCCTAATTGATAGTTGTAGTGCAGGAAAAAAGGTGCATATTCTTTTCAAGTGCACACTTCACATTTACCAAACCAGAAGAAAAAGAAAACACCACTGCCATCAAGCTGATTCTGACTCACAGGCATCCTATAGGACAGGGTAGAACTGCCTCCGTGGGTTTCCAAGACTGCAACTCTTTACAAGAGTAGAAAGTCTCATCCATCTCATGAACCTTTACCAAGATAGAGTACATCCTAGGTCATAAAACATATGTCAATCAACATAAAGGACTTCAGATCATATCAGCCATATGTTCTCTGACCACAATAGAATTAAATTCGAATTCAGCAACTCATAACATAGGCAGCTATCAACTGCCCTCCACAACAATTTTATTCAAAGAAGTCCACTAGATAATTTCTGATTCCTCTGCAATAACATCCCACTGGCATCACAGTCGTACAAAGTCACTGTCGTGTCATAAAGGGAATTTTGCTGCTACTTCCGGCTTTATTCATAAATAAGGACGACACAGGGAAGATGTGAAGGGACACTGGTTTCCCTGTACAGGCAGACCTCGTGTCACTGCCCTTCTCTTTCGTGCAATTTGCAGCTAGTGGGTTTTCCACAAACTGAGGGCTTGTGGCACATCTGTATCAAGCAGCAAAACTTGATGGTTACTCTTATAATATTGCAAACTTTTTGTAATGCCACTACAGGCTTAATAGACTGTACTATAATGTAAACATAACTTTGATAGGCACTAGGAAAGCAAAAAATGGTAACTAGGTTTATTTAAATTAAACCCGTAGTATCTGCGAGGGATATCTTTACTCAACTGTAACAGCCATCAGACTACATGTTCAGTGTCAGGCACAGACTAGTATTAATAAATATCTGCAAATGAATAGAACAAAAATCATATGCTGAAGCCTAAAAGTTAAGGGAAAAAAAGCCACAGAAATCTTAAGAAAAACGAGAAACCCCAAGCGGCCAACAAAGAAAAAATCAGATGACACTTTTGCTAAACGTTTCACAGGCATTAATTATATCTAATGGTAGCATTGTATAATTGGGATTATCACTACTTTGCAAAAAGGAAAATGAAGTCTTACCCAGTCTTAACAAACTTGCTCATAATAAGTCATAACTGTACAAGTTAAGACTCAAATTCTGACTACAAAGGTTATTCTTA